TGTATCAAGATAAAGTGTCCCCAAAGATTGACTGAGGTGACCTCTGCTTCATAAATGTGTCTCTAACCGTAATTATAATGCACTGATATGCCTAACAACGGGTACATTTGCGATACCTTAAGTGGGCTAAAACGTTTTTCGACGAAGCCATGCCAGTTCACCGTATACGAGTTTGACAGCGACTTCATGACAGGACCCAACCCAACAACTGCGGAACGCCACACTGATTGACAACGCAACGTTATGGTTTGAGGAGCCATCGTTTACAACAGCAAATCATTACTAGTCCGTATGGTTGGTAATATGACAGCCCAGCGATATGTGGATGACATGTGCAGCCCGGTAACACTATCCTTTCTTCAGGGGTGCCGAATGCCATTTACGAGCAGGAAAATGACCGCACATTTGGCGCATAAGCCAGCATGCTGTGCACGGTACCTAGGTGCTTCCTTGGTCACCTGTCTCCCCACATCTCTCACTCACCGAACGTTTCTGGGACGTGATTGGACGTCGCTTGCGTATGTCGCCACCGCCGCATTCAGAGGACTAATTGTGGCACATGTTAACAGGGAGTGGACATCTATATTTCAGGAGACAATCCTCCCGCTCTTTGTGTCTGTAACCTTTTTAAACGTGCCTGTATTGCCACCAATGGTGGTCCTACAACTTACTAAGGATATTATAAAGTCTCTCTTTGTATATGTGTATCATTTTGTAATAAACATCACTTATTGTTATTGTTTTATCACTTTCTGCGCATACGCTCATCGTGTTGCATTTCGCTATCACTTAGAGTAGTTTAAACTTTTAATGCCCATGCAAAAAACGCTAAGTAGGTGGATGAATTTCTTAAAAGAGACAATGGCCAGAAAATGAAAAGGCTAGTCAAATATTTTGTTTTAACCTAAAAGAAAATCGCTCAGAAGCTGTAAAGAATTGTTGCATGTGCACGGGTTCGTAATAGATTGAATGCACACAGGTTCGATGATAGGTGAATAAAATTGATTTTATTAATAGAAACCCTTCAGAGTTCTGAAATTATCCACAGAAATACTCATACAGGTGTTCACAATATCACACACTGCAGTCAGTAGTTACACTTTAAACTGCTAAGAACGTTAAACACAACGCAATACAAAGTGCATCTAAAGAGAAAGCTAACTCGGCTGTATCTCACTTCACGCGAAATTTACAACTTCAACAATAATTACTAAGCAACTGAGAAGCAAGATGCTCTCTCTCGGGTCTAATATAGTTTTCAACCGGCCGCCGAGATATTTCTAATACTTTCTGCTTCTCGAAATCATTGGAAGGCATATGAGGGTTACGGCTACAATACTTATTACACTGATCATTTACATTTATTCAATTACAATGCTTATTACAGTGATCATTTACATTTATTCAATTACAATACTTATTAGGGTGATAAAGGGGCCAGACCCAAATTTCGCCAAAATAAGACGCCAAAACCGTTGCCAGATTGGCGATATTTCGCCAAATTACCGAGATACTCATTTACTCAATGCTAAATACACTAGCTCTGTATTTTACTTTTCCGGCATAGCTTCTCTTTTCAGATTTTTCACGTTACATTACACAGAAAAATACAACAATTTCATATATAATTGCACTAAAATTATCTACTTATGCACAAAATTCGTAATACAATGTTATTGCATGACATCAGCTTTCTTCAAGAACCTGTTTGACTATTCTATGAACAGTTCTTAAGAGGTTCTTGAAGAACGCTTTAGACAATGAGATGAAACTCAGCCAGCGACAGACAATAAGGCAAAATGAGGTGAAACTCATTGTCAAGTTTTATTTAATATCTTTATTTTTTACATGAAATCTCATCGTGACGGTTGTGCTAAAAGTTATAAATATTACATATTCTATATACTGTATATTCCTGCGTATATCGCGCACTTTTCAATGCAAAAAAATAAGATCGAAAATTATGGGCGCGGTATATATATATACAAGGTCGGAAAATTTATTCCATTCGTAATTTATTTAAGTTTCTTAAACTTTTTTCTTTTACTGTTGCTGCGCTAGTGGCAGAAAGAATGTGAAGTATACATTCTAAGGAAACTTTATTTGTTGCTTTGCTTGATTTTTTAGCACTAAAACATAAGTCTTCATCGTAAATTTTGCAAGAATATATAAATTTAAATAAACGCATATTACTTCGGATTTTTCTCTTTATCTCATTTGTAATAAAATTTTCTGGTTTATTGAAAGAATTTCACTAATCATATGCCTGCTGCTTTTCAGGAAGGTAGGAAATTGTGGAGTGGCTATCAGCACTCTCCCTGTAAGACCCATTGAGCTTAAGGTTTCCTCTCTCGCTCGTTTTTGTCGGCTCTGTCAGACCGCTGATTACATATAATTCTAGGCATTTTTCATTGCTTAAACACGCTAGAACACTGCTTTGTTTTTTACTTTCTTGTACTTCCAAGTGAAGAAAGTACTGTAATCGCACAAATTTTTGGGCATCACATTTCAACCAAAATATCCATTTTGACCACTATCAAATGCAATTTAATGGTATTTTTGCGTGACATATGTACGTAAGGACATAATAAAGGACTCTTTTTCCTCCGAACGAATTACAGAACTGATTTAAAAAGGGTTCAGAAGAGAATTTTTTTGTGTCGTCTGTATGTACGTATGTATGTATCTCGCGCAACTAAAAAACGAGTACCTTCAGAGCGTTGATATTTTATATATAGGACTGCTATAAGATGTCGTTGTACACCTCCTTTTTTGGTTTCAATCGACCGGACGAAAGACACATACACATATATATATGTGTGTCTTTCGTCCTGTCTTTCGTCTGTTACTCGTCTTCGTGAGCTCTCTATCTCTTCTTTTTAATTTTTTTTTTATGTTGTATGTTGGGAAATTGTGCATTTTTTCTTCTTTTTCTTGCTTTAAAAATTATTATGTTATTCTTATCTTCCATTTAAGGTTTTTATACCTTTAATTTATCTGCATGCAATAATTGTAGAATTATCAACAATTGACAATTTTTTTAAGCGCGGCTAAGCCTAATTATTTTTACCATAGCAGCCATATTTGTTTTCATTTGATATTTAGCAGAATAGTGATTTAAGTCAGTTTCAGCACGTTCAGTGTCTTTTTGCCGAGTGGGACCAAAAGTAAACTTTTTGTTTACATTTGGAGTTTTGCGCACCGAAAAATCTATCTTCTTACCCGCTGGCCGAATTGCTTGTTTTTGCTTAGAAATTCTAATTTGAATGGAAAAAATTGTTTTAATTGTTTTAACTGTATTTGGTGTTTTATAATTTTCAGTTTTTAATAATGATATTTTGAAATTTTATGCATTTTCGCTTTGCCGCGAAGTGAGAACTGAATTAATTGAATAAGAAATATATCTCTAATGAAATTTGAGCGAATAAGTTTAAATGATATGCAGCAAAAAGTGTTTATAATTTAATAGCCCATACGAGGACGTCATGTGGTGTCCACCTCAGAATTTTTTTTTTTTTTTAATGCATCAGTTCTTTTTGAACATCCGATACCAGAGAAATAAACAATTTCTTATTTTCAAATAAAATATATATATATGTATCGAGAATATTGCCAAGAGCCATAGCCTGCCGCTGTAAACAAGAGAATCGACGATGGTCGATAATATAGTACGAAGAGAGGGGGATTTCTGTCAAAATTGACACGTTTCCGGTTTCCAATTTCGAACACCATATATTATACCTCCATGATTATTTTCCCTAATTTTATTCAGTGCTGTTTATTAAGCATAATATAAAATTTTCGCATTGATTTTAGCTCATAAAAATATGTTTTTTAACCTTATTTTATTGTTGAGGTATAAAAGTGGACAAAAATACCAAAAGAATTTAAATATTCGCTATTACTGACTTTTTGTTGCGAAGGAAAGTCTAGTCACAATTCAGAATACAAAGATGCAATATTGAACGAGTGACAAAATTTAAAGTTGCCTACTTAATTCTTTCCGGCACGCAACCTTTTAAAGTCGAAATTTTAATTAAAAAAAAAAAAAAAAAAAAAAAAAAAAAAAAAAAAAAAAAAAACGTATGCAGTCTAATTAGGTTAGGCCTAGAGGATTACACAAGTAAAATTTTGTGAAGATAGCACGTTTTAATTTTGTGGGTGTGCCCAAAGTGCACACACTGATTGAATAGAGTTTCGAAAAGAGTGCTGAAACGAGCATTGTTGTCAATGAACTGACCGATGAGATGCAGAGAAACAAAGAATACAGACTCTCAGTTGTCGTAGATTATCGGTGAGCCCGTTCTGGACACACCTAGGGTTTGTCGTTTGATTTTAGGCCAGATTTCAAGGTAAAAATTTAGAACTAATATAGAATAAGGATATTAGCATATAGCCAAAAAGATAACATAGAAATTTCTTTTCAAACAATTCCTTTTATACCCTAATAAAAAAAAAAAATCTGGAAGAATTTTTTTAAAAATGAGGGTCTTAAAAAAGTAAACATGGCTAAAATATATGGAGTGGTTTGTGTTGAGCTGCCATCTACTATAAATAAAGAAGGTTCAGAGTAACCTATAGTAATCTATAAATCCTTTTTCATTCAATTTTTCTGTGCGTACAAAAGGAAATCTTTAGGTGTGTCCAGACCGGACACACTGTGCCGCAAAGGGTTAACACCAAGGGCATTTGTGATAATTCTAAGAGAAAAATTAACAAAAAATTTAACAATACGCAGACATAGTAATAATCGTTTGAATAAAAGACGAATATCTTTGGAATCCTTTCATAGCAGTTATCCTTAGAAATTTTTTCTCCTTCAATGTAATTTCGAGAATTATATAATCCAAACAACTAAAAGCAGATGCACACAACTTTTATGCAGTGTAGAGGAACTAGACTTGTGTGAACAAGCAACATATCTCCTTTATTTGCTCTAGCGGCAGTCGCTAGTTTTTAGTTTTCTGACGCTATATGACGTTTGGCCTTCAACTATTTTCTATTGGTCAAGGTCTGTCAAGGACACTGCACAGGCGTTTCGGCAACACAAAACAAAATTCCTTCTTATCCGGTAAGCGGAACGGAAAGGTCGATCTTTCCCTGCTGGCTTTTTATTCGTGTAAGTTACATAATTTAATTTTTAATATTCATTAAAATTATCTTTCGTTTTCTTCCTTATATTCATCATATAACTAGTTTTCAAATTACACATAAATACCAAAGTAATAAAGCAGACAAAAGTTCGACAGTCTTAAAATTTCGAGCATTCAGCCTCGTATAAGCAAATGTTCTATGTCTGATGATCTGAGAAGTGACACCCAGATGAAATAGATATTCTGAAATGCAGAGAAAATTTAACAAAATCAGCTCCATTCAGAGTTGAAATTTATTTATTATTAAACGCTAATTGACTAAAGTGTATTCTGAGAAACTAACTATGCCAAAGAATATTTGATTCCGTGCTATTGCAGTTCAGATACAGAATGTGAAATTTCTTATCTATAGTTTTTTAAGAACATTAGTTACTTATGTAAATTGAAATGCAGGTAAAATAGTGATTCTGTAATGAAAGTATATTTAATCTGGGAAGGATAAAAAACAAATAAATAAATAAAAATAAAATGAAATAAAGAAAATTAATTTAAAAATAAAAATAAAAAGTAAATGAATTAAAAAGTAAAATAAACATAAACATTTATTTAAAAATATAAAGTATTATTAAGATCATTCAGTTTTATTGGAAACATCTCCTTAATATCAATGAATAATTATCTGAAATAAGAATCAGCTTATTATTTGAAATGAGTACGTGCTTAGTGAAAACGCTGTTTTTTACATCCTTGTACAAAGTAAAGGAAGTACTATAATTACGAAAAATTTCGAGTATCATATTTCAACAGAAATATACATTTTGACCGCTTTCGAATGCATTTGAACGATATTTTTTGCGTGACATACGTACGTACGGACAGAAGAAAATATTTTTCCCCCAAAACATGTAAAATGGATTCAAAGGGGATTTTTTACGTGTGGAAATTGCCAAGTCTGTACGTATGGAGATCTAGTTGCACGCTTCCCGTTTTTGTTGTAATTGACCTCACCAAACGTATATATGTATACATCCTCTTACGCAGCTCGGTGAACTCTTTTTATATATATATTTATTTATTTATTTATTGAAATCTTGTTGGTAAATTGTGCATTGTTTTGCTTTAAGAGCGACTGATTTAAGTTGCTCTTATGTTCCAATTAAAGCTTTTATGCCTTTAATTAATCTGAATGCAATAGTTGTAGAATTATCAACAATTTAAACTATCAGCAGTTACCAGAATTACCAACAATGTGTAAGTGGCGCAAGGTCCAATGTGGACGGCTATTTGTTTACATTTGAATCTCTTGGCAGTATAAGTGTATTAAGACAGTCGGTGCACCAACTTCAGTGTCTTTTTGCCCAGTGGGTCCGAAAGTTTAACTTTTTGCGCACTTGCCGTTTTGTCCTTCTGCCCACTGGCCGAATCGCTTGTTTCTTTCGTACAAACTCTAATTTTAATTGAAAAAAAAATAATAACTGTTTTTAACAATGTTCGATGTTTTAGGTTTGTTGTCTCCGCCCAATCGGGATAGTGGTTAGCGACTACGCCGATTGGGCGGTCTCGAAGTCTGCCGTCTCGAAGGGCTCGGATTCGGATCCCCGAGGAAGCATGAATGTTTTTGTTAATGGGGGGAGGCACTGTAAGTATGCGGCGAGACGAAAGTCCATTCAAGAGGTTAATGATAGGGAAGGAGGGGTGGTAGACCTTCGGACCCGTCACCTCGCGTTGCTCTCCTTCAAACCCGGGGGCGGAACTGAGCAATGTCGTATTGGCACCTGTATGGTGCTTCAAGGCAGAGCTTAATTTCTAAGATTAGAAGTGCCGGAGTCCTATGAAGAGTTAATTACTATCAAATTAATTAAAAGCTATTTAATTAATGTTTATAAATTGTTATTTAATCAATAACTATTATATAATTAATTATAATTTAATTGATAATTATTAGATAATTAATTATTATTTATTGGAATAATTAAAGATTGAAGTAATTAAATAATTAAAATTAAATAAAATGTAAAGAGATAAATTGAAATCTAATAAGCGATTTTTAATATAATTTTATTGTTAAAATAAAATTTTAGAGAGAAAATTTCTACTGAAATTGTTATTCAGTTACATAAAAGAAGTGTCCCAGCCTTCTTACTCAGGGCTCCGGTGCGTTCCGGCTAGCATTATGATTTATTACAGAAACTAAGAAGCACCGGAGCCGAGACCCGGTGGGCTCCGGCCCATTTTAAGCTCTGACCGTAGTGGAGGGGGAGTTCTTTTATCATCACAAAAAAATCAAATATACTTAAAGTATAGCTGATGAAAATTCCAGGGCAAAACAGAATGAGGGTATAAGTGGGTGGAAACAAAAAATGAGGGGAATCTTGGTGAGAGAGAACATTTTCTTTGACCGCGGATCTCTGCTGATATAATTATAGCCATGGAGCAGATGTGTGTAAGGAGTCCTGAATCTGACTCCTAAGGATGAAAGTAAATTTGCTGGTTACGCTTCCCCCCATTAGTGGATACTGTAGGAAGATGATGTATAGGACGTGCTTCAGCAGTTTATCTCAGTATTTCACTCTTACTGTACTCGCTGTCACTTAAGGCACATTTAAGAACACAAATTTTCCTTCCTGCGAGGATAACTAACTGTAAGCATCGATAACAATACACTAGATACGATGGCATGGCGAGAAATTTACGCGTTTCTAAACAAACTTCCCCAAATTTATTGCTTTTCTTAAAGGGAAAGGTTTTCGCATGTGAGTGAAGGGACTTTACTTGAGCGTCTCATGCTCTCATGAATTCGTTTTTCTAGGGAAATAGAGTATTACAAGGTCTGCATCTTGTTAAACTAAAACGTTAGGAATTCTAAATTTTTCCCTTTTAAATTGTGGTTCAGTTTTATAAAGAGAAGTGCCCGAGTTCATCTTATTTAGGGCTCCGGTGCGCTCCGGCTAAAATTGTAATTTATCTTAGAAATTGAGGAGTAGCGGCGCCGGGCTCCGGCGCAATTTAAGCACTGCTTCAAGGCTTTTGCCAAGGACAGGTGCAATCTTGTACTCCTTGGCACGATAAATATCGTGGGCAACAGGTTTTTCTGTAATTACGTTTTTAATGAAGATTTTTAAGTTTTTACATATTTTTCCTTACCGCGAAGTGAGAATTCAATTAATTGAATGAGAAATATATCTCTAATGATATTCAAAGAAATAAGTTTACATGAAGTGCAGCAAAAAGTGCATATAATTTATAATAGGTCGTACAAGGAAATCATGCGTTGTCCACGTCAGATTTTTTTTTTTCTTTGTACTTCTAACAAAATTTTATCGATACCCCTTTCGTCCAACAACAACAACAAAAAATATTGTATTCAAAATTCAAATTCTGTTTATTTGTATATAAGACATGCCTTTCCCTCAAAAAAATTCTACAACAATTTTCAAATAAAAAAAAATGTAAAATTTTAAGTAACAGAATGTAGGTGAATGTTTTCGTCTTGCAGAATTTGTGAGAATTTAAATTCCCCCCCTTCCTTCAGATTTTCTTTTAAATAACAGTACCTCCAGCTATGGCCGAAGGATAACATTAGGGATGCGTTGTTACCAATTTGTTTTCAGGCATATCAGCGATCAGTAAAGTGGATGCAGGCTTAAACTGAAATCACTGGATGACATATCAGCTATTATAATCAGAAACTATGGTATATAGTTATTGTTGTTACTAATCTCCTTGAGGTAGAAAGCCTACACCAATTAATTTAATTAAAATTTTATTCGATGTATTTTTGATCAGATAAAAGTGGTTTAAATCATGTAATTTTAACAATTTTGCATTATATAGACTCTTATTATTTTGCTAAAATATTTGTAATACGATTACGAGAAACTTACGAACGGGGATTTTTATTATGGAGAGCTCGCATAAAATTTTAATTTCGTGTACTTTTACCCAAATGTGGTACCACGAACCAAAATTATCGCAGCTTGAAAGAAGCCTTTTGTATTTGACTCATTTCCCAGACTAGAAACAGGGGTTTATGATGAGCAGTTCAAATGCAGTTTAGTTCTGTAATCTTTCTGAGATAATTGTGTATCAGACTGATGACTTTGTGGCTTCCTGTTTCAGACCTTTTTTATGAGAAAGGTTTTTTTTTTTCTGAGAATTGGAGTAAATAAAGTTACTCCAATCAATAAAAGGAAACATACTTTTATCAAAATCAACCATTAAACCTCCTACACTGATAACATAAGGTTCATTGACTTGTCAGAAATATTTTATTTCAGGAAATGATAACTTGACCGATTTTACAAAATCCGTAAAGAGAAAAAATCTGTTGCGACTATTTTCTTTCCTGTTTATTGGGAGAAAAACAACTTTTTATATAACTTGATCTGGGAATTCGAACTGCAGACTTCTTATTTTGACATCAGCTCTAATCATTTCTTATTCTACTTCCATTTATTTATTACCTTCCGCCACAGTTTAATTTCTAAAATTAGAAGTATCGGAGCCCCATGGAAGACTGTGAAGAACGAAAGAATAAATAAATAAATAAAATAGCCAACATTTAAAATAATTAAATTAAATTAAGAGAAACGTAAAGATAAATCTAATAAATTGTTAAATTAATTAAAAAAGAGTTAAAAAATATATCGGACCTTGTCTTAATTGGGGAATCGGCTGGAATTACAATTCCACTTAGATGCTAAGAAGCAGCTCCAGTCGATCTCTGTCTGAGTTTAAGCCCTGATTATACGTATAGTGTACTATTCCAAAGGATGACAGGTGCCACTCCTTTTTTTTTTCAGCACAACAAGGAAAAAATACAAAATGATTAAAGCTCCACTAAGGAGAATAGTGAGGATTCTAGAAACAGTATGAGTGTATGGAAAGAAATTTAACAGAAAAGTATAGCTTTGAAAATAAAGAGGGAAGAGTTCAAGATTTCCTAATCGCGATACCTTGTCGATATAATTCTGGTCGTCAAGCAGAAATTTTCCCTGAATACGATTCGGTAACAACGTGAGAATAA